CTCAGTTGCCGGGAGAGGTTAAACCACCACTGTGCGCAGGAGGTGTCCCGGGCAGCTTCTCACCGACAGGACCCGCTAGGCAGGCTGCACCTCCGGCTTCTGAAGGACCAGCCTTGGGCGAAAAGGGTGTAAATTAAACCAGGTGAGGGTCAGGCCTCAGTTTGGACACTTGGCTCCGTGTTTGTGATGTTGTGCTTACGGGTAGGATGGTATAAGGTAACGTCTGCCAAGCGATGCCACGGCTGACAGCCATTACTGAATGGCAGCTGGTGGCACATGAAGCCTGCCAGCAGGATCTATTTTGAAAGCTATGAAAAACTGCTTAGAATTGCTCTGCCGCCTGCAAAGTCATTAATCTCTGCCTAAACTGGGAATTTTGCTGTAATTAAGGCAGCTAAGGGCTGACTCTTCTTCAGTTCTGAAACCCTTTAAAAAGAGCCAGCCGCACAAGCTTCCCGCGGTAGTGCTATTTCGTGTTATGGTGCACGTGCCATATAGTGAACGGAGACTTGTCTTAATTGCAAAATGGTAAAGGCTGCCTGGCAATTTGGGTTTTTTGGGTGTAAAAAGATTCAGCTCTGTGTGGTTTGCTCACTTTTCACTGCAGAGATCAGAGTAGAGGTTCTGGCCGGGTTAGCCTGTTTTGAAAGTTGGTGTTATTTTAATGCAGATGTTGCGCTTTGGTACATAATTACAGCTTTTTGGGGGTTTTTTTTGTTGCTTTTTCTTTTTTGAAGATGGCCAAAGGCTAAAGAGGTAGCAAAGTAGAAGAAAAACTGTTTACAATTTATCCTATGCTTACATGCTCTTTTAAATCCAAAGAAAATAGTAGAACTAACTTGATAACTTTTAAAAAAACCTGCAGTCAATAAATTCCGTATTTTGTGAGATCATACTAGCAAAAATATGTACAGGCACAAGTTGGTTGTAAGGCTTGTTTATTTTAGAAGAAACAATAATTTCGCTCACTTTTCACTGCAGAGATCAGAGCAGAGGTTCTGGCTGGCTGGGTTAGCCTGTTTTGAAAGTTGGTATTATTTTAATGCAGATTGTTGCACTTTGGTACATAATTACAGCTTTTTGGGGTTTTTTTTGTTGCTTTTTCTTTTTTGAAGATGGCCAAAGGCTAAAGAGGTAGCAAAGTAGAAGAAAAACTGTTTACAATTTATCCTATGCTTACATGCTCTTTTAAATCCAAAGAAAATAGTAGAACTAACTTGATAACTTTTAAAAAAACCTGCAGTCAATAAATTCCGTATTTTGTGAGATCATACTAGCAAAAATATGTACAGGCACAAGTTGGTTGTAAGGCTTGTTTATTTTAGAAGAAACAATAATTTACCCAATATCACTTCTGCTAGGTTTTTCATAATTTGTCTCTACCCAAAAAAATAAAATCTACCCCCACCCTGTATGTGGATAATGATAATACCCAAACAAGGAAATTGTATTAGTAAATAATTAAAATCTGTTTAGGCAAGTTGTGTACTCTAGAGACGGCTGTCAGAAAACATACTGTTTTTCCAGGCTCTCTCTTTCTGGCGCGCAGGAACATGCTCGAAGGGGACCCGTGGCTGGCTGCAGGGTGTATGGGAGGAGTCGTGCAGGTGCGAGGTTCACGGTGGACTCCCGTGGCCCAAATGAAATCATGCCACCGTGCGGGACATGCTGGAACCCCAGTATGAACTGGAGTCCAAGGCAGCCAAGCAGCGTGCCACAACGGGTATTGCCAATGCGTTCTCCTCCATCCCTTTGGCAGCAGAGTGCAGGCCACAGTTTGCTTTCACGTGGAGGGGAGTCCAATACACCTGGAATTGACTGCCCCGGGGTGCGAGCACAAAGTTTTCCTGCTTTTACTCTCGCTTTCCTCTTCCCCTGGCCCACTGGGCAGGGAGCAAGCAGCTGTGTGGCACTCAGCTGCCCACCGGGGTTAACCCCCAACAGCTGTGTGCAGCCATGGGGAACCAGTCCTGCACTTTGCTTCCAAAAGAACAGCCCGAGCCCTCTTTCCTGCTGGGCAGATTGAGAGAGCTCGGTGAACAGATGGGTTTTCACAGGAAAATGTTTTAGTTAAACTTCAGAAGCGAACTGAAGCTTTTGTGCTGTTTGTTTTGAGCAGATGACTCCCTGGCTACTCCTTACCAACATCCCTTTTAGTTCCTTAGTTTAAAAAACTGCACGATTGTAATGACCACCTGTATCTCATGCAATAAAAAAAACCCAAAAACATTTTAACCGGTGGAGAAGCAGGAGCAATGTGGACTCCGTGTAAAATGCTTCCTGCAAGTTACTGGAAATAAAGGACTACACAGGTTTGACTTTTCCAGAACTACCCAATCAGAGTCGCTACCTATCAAAGTGACATAAAGTTCTCAAATTACTATTTGCAGGGTTTCAAACTAAGTTCTAACAATGTGCAGCTCCCACTAAAGTATCCCATTAAGATTACACTCAGGACAAATGCATTTCGCATTTTTATTTATGATCATAATTATTTTCAGTTAGCTAAGAAAAACTGCGTGAAAGGATTCTGCGTACAAAGGAATTGGGGTCTCCATCCGAATTCTTGTTCTTGTGCAGCTACTGTGAATAAATCAAACTACAACATGAGCTTGAACAACTCTTAACAGAATTGGGATAAGCACAGTTGTTACAGGAATGTATGCACAAAACTTGCTGCCAAATCTAGAGCAAGAAACATAGTTCTCAGAATATTGTTTTTGTTGGCATGAAATGTAAGTCAGTAATTTTGCTCCTTATTAGAAGGACGCGCTTCCGATGTGGGATACATTACTAGTTCCATATGAACAAAAGTAATTAAATTAAATTCATTCCAGCTGGCTTAACTGAACAAACAACTGTTTTGAAAGTTGCGTTCATCAATAATAAATCTGTGATGATAAACTGTGTTTATAATCCACTTAGCTTTGTAAAGTACAACTGGGTACACTGTAAGATTTTAAAGTCAACAATTTGGGGAAAATTCCATGGTAAATTAATTACAACAGGCTCATAAGCAAAGCTGCAAAGTGTGTTATTCCTTGAATTGTGTGACTTCTAAACAAAGTTTAACTTTCACGTTTCCAGTACTTTACCTAACTGACCTTTAGTATGATTGTTTTATAATGGAGAACTCTTGCCACAAAACATTAAAATTAAGTCTTGTTCAATGGCAGCTGCAAAAGATGATTTGCCCTTTTGTGAAATTCTACACAATTTATACACAGCCTCACTGACCTTTCTGTAGCATAACCAATATGTGACTTCTCTGACATTTAAAAATCAAGGTAGCAACAATAACACAGACTGTCTAAACCATACCTCCTACTGAAAGCTCTTTATCATGTAAAATGTTAAGCAAAAATTAAGTCAGGAATTACAAATATGCGTGAATATTAGAGTAACTCTATTGCAGTGCCCAAGTAAGGAATTTAATCCTTTGCTCTTTGGCATCCACACTTTAAAAAAGGTTTTAAATTTGAAAAACAACTATCAGATGCAGTCCATAAAAGGAAGTTTCAAATACACTGGTTCCTCTCCAAATGCAGGGCACATCCTTTGGGTTGGGAGGAGGAGGAAGAGAAGTAGCTTTGCGCATCACTGCAAATTGAGGAGGTTCAAGTAGGCGATTCATTTGAGAAAAAGGATGTCTAGAAAGATTTTTAGAAGTACTCTGACTTACAGAAACATCCAATTCCTCTAAATGTACAACAGTTGGGCTGTTCACAGCACTTATAAATGAAGAAACCTGAAATAGGTTGGCTTACATTATTTGCTTTTCTTTCACTGGCATACATGATACATGAAATCCTTGCTGAGTTGTTGTTATCCTAGAGGCTGGGTCAGGCTAAAAACCACACGACCTGCTATCAAACTCACCGTCCATTTATTTTCTGAGAAAATTATTACTATTAAATTATATATCCCTTGTGTATTCCATGAGTGCATGTAACCTTCTATCCATTCTCAAATAGTAACATAAAATAAAGAACGGGCCTATGGCTTGTATACAACTTTCAAAAAAAAGGGAAGAAGATAGAAAATAAATTTAAACTTTAGGCAGTTATTGCATCCGTTAAAAAAAACCCCACAACACTTATCGATTCATGATTATCTTGTAAGGATGCAAAGCAAAAACCAGAAAGACAGATATTGTATCTAATTTACTTTGAGATTTATTGCAATCCATTTTCACAATTTCATATGAAGACTTTGTTAAGAATGTTGTTCTCACCTGCTTCTCTACCTGACACTCATGTAAATTAACAATTGGCTGGTTTCCTCCTGATTTTTAAATTGCAAGCATCCAGTTATTTTAGCTTTGAGCCAATTCTGTACTTCAGAACATTCAATCTTGCTGACATAAGTTAAAAATGCAGAATTTTCGTTGCATAATTTATTAAAATGTTTAGAAACATGATACTATTTAACGTGACACTAGAACACTAACTCGAAGTATCACATTTTCATTAAAAATGTGCACATTTGCCAATACAAAGAGTCTTGATCTGTTAAAATATTTTCTTTTAAATAAACAGCTAAGGATAAAAAAAATTATTGTGGCACTTCAGTAAATGAGGTTTTTTTTTTAATTGCATATTATAATGCTCAAATCAATACAGGTTCATCAGTAGCAGGGGATATGCTTGCAATCGTACCATATTTGCAGGGCAAATAATCTCAAACTTTCAGAAGCCACTCATGTTAGGGTGTCAGTCGTTTGGGATCCCGTGGGAACATGGAGGTCTGACGAACATTATGCAGCCCTAGGTACAGCATGGTTACTCTTTCCAGCCCTACAACAAATGAACAAAACCCATCAGTATTGTCAGTCTTTTGTTTGAAACGCTTAAGAAGCTAAAGGTACTTTATACCTACGTCCAGCCTCACATAGTAGTGCGACCAAAGACTGAGATGTATGCATTAGCACGTCCGACTACAGAAAGGAGCTAGATCCAAAAATTAGGGATTTTACATACAGTGCCTTCTGCCACGATACAGACTTCATTTGGAACACGTATCAATAAGCAATGGTACTAGAGACTCCACCCTGCTCTGAATCACTTTGGACCTTCAAGAAAGATGGTGTAGAAAATTGTAATGGGAGGTGGGTAATCGGGAGAACTGCATCTCGAATACAGTAACAGAAGTATAGTCCAAACCAGTCTTAACAGCTTCAGAGTAAGAGACATCAAGTGCCGTAAGCAACTACAGTAAAAACCTACAGTTGGGGAAGTTTATCCCAAACCCTCTACAGTACAAAAATGTAGATTCAGCAATACGTACCCATGTAACTATCTGCTGATATCTTTATGATAATAAATATTTCACTGGTCATTGTGTTCGTTCTTCCTGAAATCTTAGAGGTTATGTATGTACTGTGGAACATGGAAGGACTTCCTAATCCACGGGGCTACACAGGCACCCCAGCCATGCCGAGATGAAACCCAGATGCATACTAGTTTTCACACACTGCCCTCCTGTGCTAAGCTTTCCATCTGAAACACCTAGAAACCAGTGTTCATTCTCACAGCATCTCCTGTTTGGCTGATACTTGCCCTGACCTCTGGGATGAGCCATGAGGAGCGTTTACTCTGCAGAGGAGATGTAGCTTCAGCTTCCTTGATGTCAGTTCTGACTCGCCTAAATGATTTTGGATCATCTGCAAATGCTGCACCTCCTCTGCTCACAAGTACTGCAGGATCATCAACGCTTACATCTTGTAGGTATTTCAAAACAGCTGTCTCAATAGCATATCATAGATCTAATGCATTTACTGAAGGTGTACTTAGAAAGTTGTTCTGAGAATCTGCCAGGAATGTACTAAATATACTTTACAAAGGTAAGGCAAATGCAGAAAGACTGAATCAAATAAATCATTGTGTTTATTGATCAGGACCTACAAAGTGTCCTATTGCCACATGCATGAACAGATTTCATCCTGCTAACGAAAGCAATGTCCATAACTGTAAATTGTTATCACTAAGATGCCTAGAACCTATCTTTTTTCATTTTAACATGTAAAATACTCACACCCAAGACACAAAGCCTCAATACCTCTGCTGAAACAATTAGCATCAGCCAAACTGATCAGTGACATTCAGTCAAATCACTGAATAAGACAGAAGCAATCACTTACTTCTCCTCACTGCAGAATAGCTTCATCAAATGTACTAAGAGTCCCTGGTATTAGCAGTGGCTTCTGGTATTAGTAGGCTATGATAAATCCATACGTAATATAGTATTCTCTTGCTTCTTTAAATTTTCCTCATTGGTCAAATTTGAAAGTGATGTGCCTGGCTAATAAATTGGCTTTTTTTCTTGTGATCACCTACTTTTTAAACTTGCCAGACTGTGCCATTAATATTTTGCCTATTTATTTTATGATGATCCTTACATTTTAGCTTCTGTCCTTAAATTCTCCAGGATAAACAGCGTCATCCATTTACCTAACAAGGCTACTATTCTGAACTTTATATTGAACCCTGCTTGAGACTGAGCAGTTTAAATTAAACTCAGGCTAACACAGAACAAAATAAGATACAGATACTTACCTATTCCACCACCTGCGTGTGGAGGTGCACCAAAACGAAAGGAATCAATATAAGCCTTTATTTTCTCCAAATCTAGAGAGGGAAAAGATACGTTTCTCACCTGCTTAATGAACCCCAAGCCAAACATACAAGTGACTAGAGGACTGCAAACACAACAAAAAATTTACCAATTTAACTTACAAACTAACAGTGGGGTTTTACTCATTAAACATATAAATTACCCAGGACTATCTAGAAATTATGACTAACACTTTTGTTTTATAATTTTGTTAATAACTTAATCAGGGAAGTAATTCTAGAATTGAGTAAGAGCTAGGCCCAACTGTTCATTGTCACTTATGGAAAATGGTGACTTCTTGAATAAACTGCAGTGAGAAAGCGAAGATTTAGCAACTATTTTTCCATCTTGCTACAGTGGGAGCTACTCCTTTTTCACTACAGCCTACCTGCCACTTCACTCTGCCATTCAGTGAAAGCATAATTTTAATGTACATTTTACTCTCGTGATCTCCACCTAATTTACTCTTTTACCCTTCTACTATTAGCTGGCCTTGTCCCTGCTAAGTCTTTTTTTTTTTTTTAAATTTCACCGACAGACACTTCTTATTTGCTCTCAGTTCAAGATTTAAAAAGGACAGCCAACCAAGCCTCTGCTAGAGTACTCTGTAAAAAGTTTGCGAGAGTACAGAGGCACAACTGAATGAGACTTGTTTGTCTACCCTCACTCTGTCGAAGGCACTTCCTACATTACATTCTCTCTAACAATTCCTTTTCATCAAGGTGTTGCTGGGAAACTAACTAGTTTCTTAATAACATCACTCTAGATTAAAATGGTTAAACAGAATTAGATGCAGTAACATTAAGAATGAAACAGTACTGTGATTTTAGCACTACTGCCATATAATAAATTCTGCCCCAAATTCTTCGTCTAAAGGAAACAAATCCAATCATGATTTATATTCTTTTAAATACAGCTTCATGTTGTTTGATTTGTTACCGATGCCGTGATGCTGGGCTCTTTCTGTCAGCAGCTGAGGATCGTGAATTCTCTGAGCTCCAGACAAGATCTCTTCCCCTCTCATGAACATATCGTAAGAGTTAGAGTTTTTCTGGGAAAACAAAGATGAGTTTATTTCCTACCTACAGTTGCTCCATCCTTAGGTGGCAAATATGCACCTCTCAGTAACTTCACTTATGATATCCAAAGTTGTGCAGTAAGAGTGCAACTTATTTGGATTCTGCCCAGGAATTACAGCCCTTTGGCTCCTCTCATTAGACTGGAGTTGATTTAAAAAACTGAAGTTCATCCACATGCCCTTTGAAAAACCCTTGCATGTAGTTATCCCAGCAAAAGATGCTCTGAAGACATTTACCCTGGATTTAGGAATAAACTGGGGAATTTCTAACAATGTAAAAAAGCATATTTTCTGTTAAAGTGTCTATTGCCCTGGAAGAGTGTTTTTGCCTCTTTTCAGTGACGGCAGCAGTGCTCTGACCATGGAGAACTCTTCATAAAGCTCTCCCAGTTTTAGCTAGATTTGTTTCTTTCTGGTATGATTTCACCAGTGAAGAGTAACTGTAAACATTTTACAATTCACGTAGTACTGACCTAAGTTCGTTATCAGAATTTTAATTATAACAGCAGATCATACAAGTATACTTTATTTATTTTGTCAAGTTATCCCTACATGGAATAATTTAAACTACAAAAAACCCCACTGACAACAACAAAGAATTTTACTTACGGGATTTACTGGGTCTGGCATTGTATAAAAAGGCCTCACAGCAAGAGGATATTTGTCAAGAATATAGAAGTCTGTGTCATACTGAAAGAAGGTAATTTAAAACAGTTAGTACAAGAGAAAATGATGTAAAGAACAAATTACAAGAGGAAGACACAACCAGTAAATCTTTGAAATAAAATAAAAAAAAAATCTCCCAATAACTTTCCGCAAATTTGACAGTATTATCTTAAAAAATAACAGTTATCAATAAAAGTGGTATATTATTTTTCAGTTTTCCAATACTACTTCTAGTGTAAACTTACAAATGTTTAAGCAGTAAAATGTCTTGCTGTAGTAACAGGTACTTTTTTTTTTTGCCAAAGACCTCATCTTCTCCTATGGATTTAGTTAGAATCTGGTTTGGGTTTTTTTTAATTATCGTAAGAACTGGTTTTGGAATGTACTATCCTGTTTGGTGTACTCAGTATAACAGATGATAGAAATAAATATAAAAGATTGAAAATGGTTTGAAACAGCTTATTAAAGACAAAACTGTCAGTAGATTAAATAAGCAGCAGCAAAACAGGAATGCAGTCAGACAATTAAAAAATGCTTATGCTGATCACAAACTCTTCACAACTTCTGCATGTTCTGAGATACCGTATTCTCAATCAGTGTGTAAAAAGTTGTTTTACATGAAGTACACATTTATACCAACCCAATGACTCCATGACATCAGGTTTCAGATTCAATGACAAATTTATTTATTCTAAAATAATTGTTACCTTCTCCTTTACCAGGCGTCCCAGGAGCTTTTCATTAGGTGTGCTGAAAAAGATTATCACCATTAAAATTAAGTGATTTACACTTGTACTGATTATATACTTCATAAAGCTAAAAAGATTTCAAGCTACAGATCTGCTGCACCCCACCCTTTAGAAAATCTAGTACTTGTTTCTGAATGTTTTGGATTGTGCAGACAGAAATTTCAGAAATAAAGTCTATTTATTTCTGTTCCTAAATATTTTGTATTGGTCCTAGAAATCCCTTAAATTAACTGATACCTAAAGATATTCTTGCTCTTAATGTAACTACTTCTTAGTCACCATATTCTGATTACTGAAGAATTGTGTACTCTATTTCCTATTGGCATATACCTTGTGCAGCCATTTCTTCTTAGGCACAATAAGTGAGAAACACCATAAGCAGTTGCTGAGGAAATTATTTTGCTCTATCAAACTCTCATGATTGAAACTTCTTTGATGCACAGGTCGTTTAACTAAAATCACACATTATCCTAATGGTGCTGGGTATATTATGGGAAAGAACAGAAATGTTTTAATTTATTAAGTGTCTTTAGAAAAATTTTATATATAATCAGTTAATTAAACCCATCTTTCAGTAAATCCATAGGAATGCAATCATGATTGCTTAACCACTTTCCTGAGAGGTGGAAAGAAGAAATGGGTAGGTGTAACTGAAAAGAAAGACGTTAAGACAGAACAATCTTTTTTTGTTTAATCCTATTCAAAGGCATGTGACAATTCACATGAAGGATGGCAATTGTTAGAAAAACAAATGCTTCTTATCCTTAGATGGTTCAAGTCACTCTCACTTTATGTTGTAAGTTATTTTCTTTTGGATTTCAGAGTTTGTACAGTATAGTCTATGTTAAAAGAAAGGACTATTTTCATACCCATTCATTTGTCAAGAGATCTGGATATGAGTACCGTTTATTCCTCTAAAAGCTTGTGGTTCCTTCTTGAGGGCTGTCAGTTGCACACTACAAAACTGACACTTTGCTATCACTTTCACCAGAGACTGACACATTTGTGCACCACCAAAGTACCTCAGATCTTCTTCATCACCCATCTCAACACCAGCCTCTCTAAGCATGGCCACAGCTTCACGGTATTCCAGCCTCAGAGTTGGCTCCAAAAACTTAAACGGCTCACATGGGAACTGTTTGTTCACTGTCCGAATTTCAGTTTGGAATCTATATACGAGGAAACAAGAACAGAAGCAAAATACAAAACAATCAAGAAATGTACTCTCCTTGCATCTAGTAATGATTTTGCAATGGCAATACAATTTTGCCACAAGAGGTCCCTCTTGCAACATAAAAAACTGTTTTAAAGCCACTTCTGGAGAAATTCTGTACAATCCTAATGAAATGTTTCATGTAGGTTAATGCATCTACTTCAACGATATACACGTTAATATTTTACTATTACTTCTGTTTTATTCCTTTTGTAAGAAATAATTGACTAGGTCAAATTTTCACAGTAAAGACATCAAGAAATCACCCCTCTGATTTGTAATATTTACCTGGATTCTTCTTTGATTTAAGTAATATCCTATTTCAAATACAAAAGAGAAATTTCCTTCTAGACAGATTAAAAGATTTGCATTTCTGCTGGCAAGACAGTCTAATTTGTAAGCAAATGAAAACCACTGGCCTGGCTTTTTAATGAGTTAGACTGTGAATAATGGAAAATAATCTTTGCTGCTTTCATGGCAGAGATGCAGGCTGTTACAATAAATTTGATTCAGAAAAACTTTGATAGTAAATGTTAAGATTAATTTCAAAATAGAACCATCAGTCTACCTGTAGTGGCACAAAAAGAAGGACGTTTTAAATTAATGATGGATCACTTCTGTTAGGAAGTCCATTCAACAGTAAAGAACAAGTTTTCTTAGTGCCAGCTAGCATACCTAGGAGATGCAACTAGGGCTAAAAATAGACAGTTTACTGGCCCACGGCTTGAGTGAACTTTAAAAGTCAGGCATAAAGAAATAGTTAAGAGCAAAGCAAAAATGTTTGTTTTGAAGTTCTGTTGTAAATCAGATTACTAATGATTGTCTGACAAGCTGAGGATAAAACATTCACCCATTTCATACCACAGTGCAAGAGATCTCAAACAAAGTTGCTCATGAAATGGAAAATGCTCTCGTTACCTTTCCTGAAGTCCCTTGAATATTTGCACCAAGGTATCTGCAATCTCATCTACCACTTCATGATAGTGATAGTTAAAAGCCATTTCAATATCCAGACCAACAAACTCAGTCAGGTGTCTGTGTGTGTTGGAGTCCTCAGCTCTAAATACTGTAAAATTAAACAACAGAAATTCTAACTGACCTGAAATTATTATTCCATTTTGAAAAATAACACTGACAATCAATCACATCAGCATTTGGATCAGGCAGACAATGCTGTCTTTAGACATGACAATTCTCACTAAAAACCAAAATGAAAACTAGCTGCCTCAGAGCATCCTTTATAACAACATTGACAGCATTATTGTAGCTGTGGTGCTCAAAGGATACAAGACAGACAAGACTTGTAGAGAGGCAGTATCTCATTAGACCAACAGACAGAAGTGGAAAAACAGACAAGCTTTCAGGCACACAAGAACTTTCAGATTTGAAAACTGCCTTTTTCAGAGGAAATGGACTTCTGCACGTGTATGTGTTCTGGGGTGGGGGGTGGGGTTTCAGATATATGAGTCTAATATAAACACGTCTTCCTATAAACCATGACTAATTTGTTAGTAATTAACAAGAAATTTAAGATCTTCTGAATTATTTGCATCTTTTTTTTATTTTATAAGCTGTTATTGACTTGTTTTCCAGCATTTCCAGCTTACGTATCTTTAAACCTGTCTTTGAGGTCTTAGAAAAAAAACATTGTATTGCCACCTAAAGAGGACATGTCCTATCAGCTTTTGAGAGAGCAAGCGAGCATGAGACTGGAAATTATTAATTTTTTATTATTTACTGACAGCCCAGTTAAAAGTATGCATTTTCTAAATAAAGTTGTTTGGTACATATACAAAAGCAAGGGATAAGTATATGTTAATATGCAATCTGAAGTACATAAAACCTAACTTGCTTAGTAGTGGGCAACTAAAGGCAACTAGGCAACTACTGGGCATGGTTAATAGGAAACTATGGCTTCAGTAATCACAGTGTTGTTCCATGTTTTACTAACTTCATCATATTATCAATTTCCAATGCAACTCTACTCTTTCTCCTAGCAGAACAGCAGGCACTTGGAGAAGAGTACTCCACCCTTATGTCAGCATTTTAGTTTTGTTCCAGCAACTTCTCTACCAACTTTACTCTCATTAGTTGCCCCAACTGAAATTTCTGTTTGGTGAGTGAAACTACATTAAGTGAAACCATTCAAAGCTTTCAGTGTGCGTGTTATCTTATTTGTACCACAGCTCCTAAAAGCCATCACTGCACACTTCACACTTTGGATAAACCAATGCTTTTCTTACCTGGCCCAACACAAAAAACCTTTTCAAAGTCAGCACATATACACATCTGCTTGTACAGCTGTGGGGACTGAGCCAGGTAGGCACTGCTTTTGAAGTATGATACAGTAAACACATTGGCTCCTCCTTCACTGGCAGCTGAAAAGCAAATGCTTGCAGTAATTATTAAAATCAAAATGTAAAAAATAAATCAGAGGTAGAATGATAGACTATTGGTCTTACATTTAGAGATCAGAAGATTTTTCTTCAAAAGCATATTAGAGGAAAAAGATATATTTGCATCCATTAATGCTAAGGGAAGTTTTGCAGCTCAGGACTGTCACACATTGTCTTGCAAATCTGCAAATTTAGTTGGGGTAGTTATTTAAAATGTTACTATTCCCAGCTGTCCTTCACCTTACGGTAAGAACAGCAGAGAATGCATGCTTGTACCACCACAACTACTCACAGCCCAACATTTCTGTGGAAACCAATCTTTATCAGTGACGTAGGCTTCCAGGGGTTAACTTGCCGAGGCCGAGATGAAAGTGCATATCCTGTTTTGCCAGGACCATCCTCTCTAACTGAAGGCATAAATATCTCTCAGAGCCAAAGCTAGATTTATCAGAGGACATCTGCCAAAGGTATAAAGCTTCTTCTCAGTTTGAGGCAGTGTTCATAGAAGGTTACCTCGAGAGAATAGGAACCAAGAACACATGCATTTGAATCCCTTACTGCAAACTGCCTACCAAAACTATCAGCTGAGTCACTTTATCTTTCCATTTCCCAGTGTGTGGTATGAGAGTTACAGTTGCCTAACTTGCTAACAAAAGCCTGCCAGAGTGAAAGATTAGTTAATAATCTTTGAAAGTTCTACTGTTAAGATAACTCTAGGTAAAGTACTAATTATTATTATTACTAACCATTCCACTGAGATTAATGTTTCTTTTCTTTCATTACCACTACTCCCACTGAAATGGTTTCAGTGAATATTTACAGTTATGTTTGAATACAGGTAACTTTTAAAATCTCAAATCTTAGAACAGCTATGACATTTAAATTTGAAGTTTAGTAAGGATTGCATCGACTTAACTTAGTTATTTTTACAAAATATGATCTCATTCAAACAATAGGATGCTTGCTTGCTTGCTTTCAATGGTACACTGCACAGTAAGAATAGCACACTTCCGCAAAGGTCCTACATAAATAAACTACTTGGGAGTCTTTAGTACTTCATGCCATTTCAACTGTCTCTGTAGGAAAAAAGTTATCTAACCTTACAGTTCAACAATACTTTCCATGTTGAAAGAATAGTTGCTTACATGTATTTTGTTAAAAAGCCCTTTTTTATCTCAGTCAAGAGCTGTCCTCAAAAATACAAATACAGAAGTATAAAATTCAGTAGGCAAAATGTATGCATATAATGAATGCACATACAATGAGAATAATACAAATATTCTGCCCTACGTTTTCCATGTTGATGTGTTGATGTTAGTGACATCAACAAAACCTCAAAGAACACCAATAAGATGGAAGAAAATCATCCATCAGCAAATCAAGTAATCTGACTTTTGAAAACAGTACAGGAGATCAACAACAGAACTAGAAGTAAAATCTACATTTCCAGACTTCTAGTCGGGCTGAAGCTGTTACGCCACACTTTCAGAAAAATTATCTACCACCTTCTATTCAGCCATATGCTCATTGCTAAAGAAGTGACATATTGTATATAACGGCATCATCTTTTATACCATGATATGTTTGTTGCAACTTCTTTATGATGGAAGCTGTTTTTAATCTAAATCAGAGTGGTGGGGGTTTTTTGACACTGGGAATGGAACTGGCAGTGCTCAACACTGAGCACACTGATTTGAAGAACAATGCATATGATCAGACATCTGTATTTAACCAAATTAAAACTTTAAATGCACTGCAGAGTACATAAATCAGGTATATATAATATTTGTCTTGTCATTCTTTTAACATCCAAAATCAGGAGAAAAGTAAAGAACAACTCTGATACCTGCTAGACGAAGTTTGCTATGTTGCATCTAAATTAGAAATAGAACTTTATCTTTTTAAAATAAAAACTTACTAACTTTTTGGCAGATAGGTACACTGAGCAACTGTAAAAGAAGCAGACCTGTAGCTGCTGGATCACATATACAGTACCTGAAATGATTTTGGGGGTCTGAATTTCCACAAATCCCTTGCGAATAAGAGTTTCTCGGAAAAGCTGACAAATACCAGACTGAAGGCAGAAGATTGCCTGACTAGTGGAGGTCTATAAGAAGAAGATAAAATAATGAATCCTAAGTCAGTTTCTCCTGACTCTGTTACTTTTTCTGGACAGCTGGAAGGATGAATCTCTTCTCTTAGGAACACCTGATTATTGTATTTGCCTAAACAGAGAAAAGTGCAAATCGGTAATTGTTTATTACACAAAAAGAAACAGCAAAGGAAATGAGAAACTCCTCATTTCAATTTATGGCATATTCAGTTATAAAGGAGGCACTATGGTCAATTCTACATTTAAAGAATCACTGATTTACGAGATGTGCTTCTGCAAATAAAGGTTTTACAGTAAGAAATTTAATAAAAACACTATACCTATTAAAAAGCTTTCAGCACACTGAACTAGAACAGCTACAGTAATATACAGTGCATGATAAAAGCAAAGCCCTCAATAACTTACCTAAGGTAGAAATGTTTGTGTTTATTAAAGGCTACCAAATACAACATTTTTCATGTAAAAACACAGCCACTTGTTAACCATATACAACACTGCCACAAAAACATCCCAAAACCAAGGTCTAAACTCCGAGCACCTAAAACAGTCCACATAACACCTGATCATATGAACTGCAGTTCTTCTGTCTTTTCAAAATGTATTCCAAAAGTACATTTATTTGAAAACGAAAATAGATTTAGCTGAACTGATCATCTTCTTTTTGTTTATGTACACGACACAGTTAAGCTACTTATCTGGTTAGCACATACCTACACTAAATGTTCTTGTAACACTCTTGAGCTTTAGTGTGAAGAAAAAAACAACCCTTAGTGAATGCTGAAAACACTGCAATACGTCAACACTGAACCCATATCTGATTTTGTGCTTGCAGCGTTTAAGACCTGACAGTTAGCAACCTAGAAGCATATACAAAACCTAACGAATTCTTGCAAACAACTAAGAGAACAGTTCTTTACGACAATCTGCGTCATAGCACTGTTTACTTCTCCTTTCTGAACGGTACCCAACTTTTCAGTTAGGGTAAGAAGAGCCTTGTGGGCTTTTTCACATGACTCCTACCAAACCACAAAACAAAAAACCCCCAACCAAAACAAATTATATAAGCACCCAAATTTAGACAGTCAGTCAGTAGATACGTTGAAATAAAGCTCCATCCATCATGTCTGCAAGATAAAGATATCACTTCACTGAAAAACCAAAAGAGAAAACTGTAATAATACTGCAGATCTGTAGTAATTTGGAGTTTTTTGCAATTTTAGCTGACCGATAAAATATCTCAGGACTGTAAGTGGTTGAGACTAGTAAATAATAGCGAGCAGTTCTCACTGTCTGATAGCATTAACCGCAGCCGCTACTCCCACTACTTTCAAAATGAAGGAAATGAGGTTTTGAGAAACAGTTACAAAAGTACCCTCAAACTTTTTCACCTTTTTTTACACGGGTCTCCCAGAATCAGACATACGTTAAGATTTAGCCTGAGTTCTGGGCATAATTTGGCAGTGTTACATCAAAGCACCAGGATGATTCAAAGGGATAGTTTCTTTTCTTTTTTCCTAACCATCTTCTACTTAGAAGCTGAAAGACATTTTCCAAGAGATGACAACTTAAACAGTCACATTTGGGTTTACCAATACAGCTTTTGATAAACTAGACAAATTTCTAGAAATCCTAAGAGACAAAATGGGTAACATTTATTTAAAGTGGGATAGTAACAATGCCTCTCTACCCTTCTGATGAACCAACACCAGTTTCATGCCAGAGCAGGTAAGAATGCAGTTCTAAGTCATACAGTCCTAGGAAAAAAAAAATGGTTGCTAAACTCAATCCGAAAGCAACTACTTGGTCTGACGCCTAAAAGTGTGCACAGAAACACAGCCAGTCAATAACTAACACAGTTCTCCGCTAACAGTAGTTCATCAGGTAGTAACTCTTCCTGGCTTTAGTGAGGATGCAGAGCGAAGACTCTGTCTTCCTAATCCCATCGATAATGATAAATTATACTTAAAAAATAGTATTTATGAAAGCAAACAAATTCACAGATCTGGACACTGAAGCTTTTATTTAACTACAGACCAAGGCAAGAACAAGCAGCAGTTCTCTGTACCTCAAATTAGATCTGACAAGACCACTCCTCTTTCTACCAAGGGTGGCTGAGTTTCAGTGCCCATTCATTCAGAGACTGCCAACAAGGATAACTGTGGAGAATTTGTGATACTGCAGTCTCCTTGTAAGAATTAAACAGGCCAACAAGACGTTTGGGATAAGCTCCTAAAGAACTGCAACTGTCAACATGCAGTGGAGTCAAATGGATGACCTCAAAAGTTTTATGTGCCACTACAACTTTCCAAAGATTGTAAAGATGATTCTGTATCTACACATGGAGCAAAACTTTTCAGATTTAATTACATCCTTTGCACTGGTATAATGTTTAGGAGAAAAAGAGAGTGAATTTATCTGAAGAAAATAATTCAAGCTGTTGTCCTGTCTTTAACCGAGATGCTGGTATGTATATTACCATGTTTGGTACAATGGTAGGTAACACAGTTACCATTTGAGCTACCACACTTAGGTACAACACAGCAAACTAAAGACAGAGACAGCTGTCAAAAGGAATTGATTTTTACCTTTGCCTTAAAAAAGATTTTGTCATGGCTTTCTTTTCCTGTAGTGTTTACTCTAATATGAACCCTTCCACATACATATTGACAAACTTATCTGAGACTATGGCAAAGAGTAAATATTCCTTCAAGAGTTAAGCAGAATCAGAAACAAGCTCATGCCACTTAAATACTGTTGCAGTTAACAGTGGTAATGTTTTAATAACTTGGTCTGCAGAGTTGATTTTACAGGAAAATTATTTTTAATAATCACCTTTGTTACAGACAGCAGAAAAAATGTTTAGCTAACAATGCTGAAATATGAGTTTCAGTCATAACCGCACTCTAATTTCACCTGTGTGTTTATTATTTAAATGCCACAAATGAAAATATTAGTAATAGAACAGAGCATATTTTAACACTATAAACAAGACTATGAAAACAATTATCACATTTTATTCAGCACAAGCTGCAGTGTTAGAATAATCATAGCCATGTAAGTTGCCAGAGACCAACAAATGTGTTTCAGCAGAATTGAGGGCAGTTAACACCTTATGTGACCATATCTCAAAGAGGTGCGAATGAGGCACAGACGTGCAAAGTTGTCAACTTTTCTTTTTACTCTCATGTCAGCTGTAGAATTTGTTCCACACTCACCTCAGTTTTGCTATTCTGTTCGCCTGCTGTAACTACCTTCAGTTTTGCTATTCTGTTCGCCTGCTGTAATTACCTATCTTCCACCATGAACAATCACTAAATACATAAAGTAGTCTAAATAAAAAGGGAAAATAATGTAATCTATATTCTTTTAAGTAATATACATTATTTTAAATAATGTAAATAAGTTTGCAATTACTCTACTATATATGAGCAATGAAGTTTTTGCTAGGAAATAGGATTTACGTTCAATAAGTTTTTTAACCCCAAAGTGATTGAAGTCAACTTTTATTCAAATTTCAATATTACTTATAGTACAAGAAGATATGAAGTTTGTTGTCTAAATGACTGGGACTGTGTTATTTCTTCACCACTTCACCACTATGTCGCTCGTTCATTACAGCTTGAATTCAGTCAGGAAAAACACAGCTTTTGCAATGAATAAATTGAATTCAACACAATGAAATCAAGCTTGAAGTAATCAAGTATTTTGAAAAAAACTGCATCAGTGTACAGTTGGATTACCATATAACATAGTCTGACATCCATAAACTACTAGAGATACAGTTTAATGTTTATGCTCTACCCTGAGTAGTTCAAACAGGATAATATTGACCCTAAAAAAACTATGCTTTGGTCTCAATGAGCTGTGCATTAGCAGACACAATTATAGCATCAGGACTGCAAAACGCATATAATTCAAGTCGAATTTGGACAGATACTGTCAAGATAAAAACCCTGCTGGACATCAAAAATAAGCCAGAGCAAGGACATCAGTCAGGTCCATTGTTAAAACTTAATGAACCTGAATTGATTTTTTCTTCAGAGGAAGACATACTAAGAAGCAAAACCCAAAAATCAGTGTTTCACTTGTTGTCTTTTCTTCATTGTTTTTCATCTACCACAGATCTTCATGAAATATGGTTTCTGTAGGTGTTTTTACAGATGTGGAAAGTCTATGCATCACTGAATACTTCAGTTAAACTTAAGAACAGCAGAAAAATAAAGATATAAAACCACAATCAGTGCTCCGATTTGCCTTTTTAAATTGTTCTGATAAAGGAACAGTAAATCAAACATCTCTAGAATCAACTGTTTTGACTTTCATTAAGCTGTCATGAAAAATAGATACTTAGGTCAACAGCGGTTTCCTCACGGTCACCTGTGGTTATGTGAAAGAAAATCTGGTCTATACAAGGACTCTTCTTTCTTCTTACCAGCTCTCGTCTCTACACCCCCAATTTTTCTACTCCACAAGTATGTGATCTGTATTTTATGAGTTAACCTGTCAGGAACAGATTCATTCTTCCTCTGTCATCATTCCTTGGAAAGGATTTTTAAAACCCCTCCACCCTAAATAATCACCATTGTCCCTCCAAACATCAGAGTAACAACTACAGCAATAGTTTGGGATCTTGGCATTTACTTCCCATCCCTAACCTCAAAAAAACTACCAGACACCTCTGGAAGATCTTTTGTCAGCAACCAAAAGGCAAAATTGTTAAAAATACAGTGCACTACTCAGTCTATTTTCACATGTACACAAGAATAGAAGTCTTGCAATCTTTGTAGAATACTTTGTATATAACATCTCCACTAATGTAATTTCCTTATTATTATTAATCACACTCCTTCTATTGCATCATAATCAAACTCTCCTTGGTATACATCATAGCTGGATGGAGTGATGCCATTTTTTGAAATCCAGTCCCTTTCATTCATGCAATAACTGAGTTTCACAGCTCCACTTTATCATAATTTGGCCCTATCCAATGAACTCATTGGTTAATCACTACTTAAAATTAGTTGAACTACTTAACTACTTTAAAGACTGTATTTAAATGGACAAAAATAATTTTAATTCCAGACTAAGGACTTCTTTTAGTCTGAGTCTAGCCAAGATCTATGCATTTAGTTTGTTAAATCTTCCTCCAAAAAATAGTATCTCTCTCTTCAACGTTTGATGACCTCCTTCCTTAAAAAACTGGGGCACTGAGGAAACCAGAATTAGATGGTACATCTATCTGTGGTTGGACTTCCTCCCACACTTGTAGGAACAGGACATCACAGCATCTCTGTTAGAACTATTCTGTTAACATTTCTTCCCTGCTGCTCACAATTTGGTTTTCCTAGAAAGAAGAGGTATGGGAGAGTAGTGGCTAACAATGGTTTCAGATATCTCTCTCAGCTTTTAACACATCATGTCTTCTAATCCTCCTTAGAACATGCCTACTTACGCAGTGCATTTGAAACACTAGGGGCTCTCTGAAGTCCCATTTGTACTACAGCTCCAGTCTATGTAACCAAATCACTGAAAATCAATTATTACTTTTTGGTGGGGTTTTTGGTTTGGTTTTTTTTTAGTTATTTGGAAGGACAAACTGCCTTCGTGTCCCTGCTCTTGTGATTCCACTGCATACAGTGCTTAGGATGTACGCATACATATAAGTGCATGTATTCTCACTGGGATTTCTCCTTTCTCCATTAAATACCTTTTCTGCTTATTCAGCGCTCCCTTTAAAAAAAACAGGTCAAAGTAACACATAATTATTTAGGATCTTCTTTTGCACAAGCAAAGCTCCTGCAGAACAAACAAAGCAAACTTATGAAGAGGCATGAGCTTACTGTTCCAAAATAATCTGCTTTTGTTCTGAAACAAATAATGAAACATGCAGCAGAAGAGACACACAGAAATGTGACACAGTGAGAGACAGAAACTTTTCCTGTAGATAGGAAGAAGGCAAGATAGATACCTAAGCCTAATCAAGAAAAAGCTGTGGCCAGGTGACATCCAGCCATGGGTGCATGAAGAGGACGAGGCATAAGGCACTGAAGCACTGAGATTGGACATTTCATCCTTCCATCAATTTCGTAAAAAGTTAACCTGAATTCCTGTTTAGCGTGAAACAGCTGTTTAGCACCACACCGCGGCAGCTGTTGGAGCTAAGGAGAAAAATAGCTTCTGTAGAAGGCAGAGTAAACGTTCAGACCTCAAAACAAGGTGCCAAACATTGCTGAATAAATGGTGTACTGACAACGGTTGAGACATATAAATCAGAAAAGGTTATAGCAGCATCCACTTAGCTCACCAGCTGTACCCTCCAGGCAGAATACTGACAACTAATGTTCCATTACTATACTGGCAGAAATATATAAGAAGTATCGGGAGAGTCCTGCTGGACTACTGAATGTGTACAGGGACGGAAGAATTTTAGCCCACCCCTTTCTATTCCATCTCTTGTGTTTATTGTGGCATTACAGTGTCCCTTCTTTTTCCATTACTATATACCTTCTTAGGTTTTGCTCTGCAGATGCCCTCATCCGAATTACAGCCAAGGATACTTTCATGCCATTATTTTCAGCTAGTATTTTTAACCGTTATTTCCTTCTGTATTGTTTCTCTGTTCTTTTGGGGGTTCATGGCTCTTTCCAGTGTATTATACAGGTATTTCATTAATTTAATGGATTTTCTTAAGATTCTCTGGAGTGCTGCTGAGTATTTTTCTTCATTACCAGAATTTCAAGTAAAACTTGCACTTTGAGCATCCCAGAGTTCTCCCTTCAATTTAGTACACTGCCTTAACATTCCATAAGCCAATGATCCTTTAAATGATTTTCATTTTCAACCATTAGTATAGAATTCTTTTAATCAAAGGCTTAATTTAAGACACAGATGAAGAGACCAATATGATGAGATACTGAGTATCCTGAAAAGTAATCACAAATTGAAGTTGCTCAGTGTTATACAAAAGGTCAAGTGAAAAGCAATTAACTTTGGTCCAAGTAAAACAATTTGCACAAGTAGTTTTAGTTGCTGAAATAAGGAGATTGGATGTTCAAATGCTTTAAGCATCTCAGTACCAGAACTCTTCCAAATTTTCCAGTAAATAACTGACTTTTTTGTTTTATTTCCCAGGTCCATAGACTGATTTACCGAGAAACTGCCATTATCAGAACTTTGAAGGCAGTACTAGATACATCACAAAAATGAGCTAAGCATACTCTTCATTCAATGAAAAGTTAATTAAAATTTTATTGTGGAGAGCCAAATATGGGAAAAGACCGGAAAGCCTCATGTCAGTATGAACGATTAGTTACTTACACACTTAGTGTTAGTTGCTGTTTCATTAAAAAAGAAGAAAAGTTCTGTAAGTGATTTAGTAGATAGTTTTTTGCTGCTGATCAAAAAGAGTAAATATTTGGGAGATGTATGAATTTACAGAAGGCTGAGTCTCTATGACCTGGATGAAGAAAGGTGTTTCAGAAAAAAAAAGAAAAAGATATGAATACTGTGGAAGAAACAAAGCGAATGACATTGATACCATGGCCTGGTACAATTTCACTTGCGAGAGATGCATTATAGCACCTCAATTACATGTTAAATTCAAAACTTTAATCTTGTACTTCAAAACTGAGCTCTTACTACCGTTTTTGGGTATCAAAGGCTACACTGGAGAAGAAATGTTGTCTCTAAATTGTCCCTATTCAGTCACCTTTGACTTTTGTAAATAAAAAAGCCCAGATGCACATGGCCACATGCCAAATCCTAAATGTCCACCTTTAAACTACTAATACGTGTTCTTTGATTAATGTCAGGAAAGGTGAACATTTAGGATTAAAAAACCCTGTGTTTTCACAATGCCACTCACAAGTAGAAAAATATGTTTTTTATTTTTCCTCTGGCCAACAATACACTCCCATCAAATCCACGACTTTTATTGCTTCATGGATTAGTAATGCGAAGAATAAACACCTGCAGGCAAGCATGCAACACAGCACGTTCCTTACCCTCAGATCAATGACTCTGTTGTCCAGTCTTGTATCTTGGTTTACAGTAGCTCTTCCATCCTAAACAGTTGTGCAAAAATACATAATGAATACATACACCTCCAAAAAAACCCCCAACCCCAACAAAACAAAATCAATGGAGAAAAACATCCTTTGGCTAAAAGCCAAGGGCTACTTCTCAGTTCAGTAGAATTTCTAGATCACTCTAGAAAGAACATAGAGCAAATTGGCAGCATAGCAAAGCTTAAGGTGTAACTTCTCCCAGAGGTCACAGGCAGAATCCAACTATGAGGATCCAGAAGACACACACACACAAGACTGCAAACCCTCTGGTTTTGACCTTCTACTGCAGTTCAGCAGACATCAAAGCTACAGAGATTTCTAACACAGTTCTGGATAACATAGAGGAAGTAAAATGCAAGCCTAACAAACCCCAAAGTCACATTAAGGAAGTTGCCTGGCTTTCATGCTTTTGTTCAATTACAAAGACAATAAAAAGTATTCAAGGATGAAAAGTTTTCACCTCCTCTCCTTCCACTTCTGGCCGAACAGCATCATCCAGCTGTAAGGGCAGTCGGGGTTCAGCTAAACTGATCACATAGATCTGAAATTGAGACAGGAACAGAAATAGCATGAGACTCGGCTCAAAAGGAGGTGTGATTTACAAAAGGATATTTCTGGCATAGACTTGAAACAGTGTTTGCATAGGCTGTTAGCTCTAAGACTGTGATTTTGTTCAAATACTTGAGGTACATGGGTGCATTCTCATGACAATACTGGAAGTGCTTAGTTCTTAGTTTCCTTTTCAAAGATTAAAAATATCTTTTTTTCTTCTGGGAAGCATTGAGTTGAGCAAGTACACACTGCCTGAGCGACAAGCCTATTGGCATGAATGCCAGGTCTGAAACTACTAGATTTCACAGAGTTTTAGGTTCTGATTCCAGCAAGATCATGCTGTTGTTCTTGTTGTTAATGTATTATTTTACTTATCATCTGGTTGTATCTGAAAGAGCCATTTCAGACTGAAAATTTATGAGATACCTAAAATACAATCAGAGAATGAAAAACACCTTGCCTTGTCTTACAGTCTAGTCGTAGGTGCAGTGAATTTTATATTCTTTCAGAAAAATCAAGCATACAATAATCTGCACAGATACTAAAACATGTTTCTTTAAAATCTGCAGATTTTCCCCAATGCTGTTAGCTAAAATTTACCCTACTGCTATAATAGCCATTGCACTCTACTCTTGAGGTGACTGTGTTTCAGCTGTATTGTAGGCATACAGTTTGGCTGAAAACCTTTAGAAGGAAAGGATATTACATAAAGGTTTAAAAACGCTTTCTATTTAAACAAATTATAAAGTTGCACTTCCTCCAGCCCTACAGCACAAGCTACAGGAATTTTAGATTTCAAGAGCTTCCATACTGTTAAGCCAGTGCTTTACTTTTGCTGAGAGTTATGTATTCCATTCCATTGTACTAAGGGGAAGATTGTAACTTTCTCATAAAGAAGAAACTTCTGACTTGCACTTAAAAAGAAGCAGACTTCTTGTTACAGTGTCTGCTGCAGTTAAGAATCAAAAACTAGAATTACAAGCATTCCGAGCCAAACTATTCTAGTGAGATACTTTATTTTACTTGGTACTGTAATTCAAATGGCAGATAAAAATAGGAAATTCTAAAAATTAAATCTCTTAAAAACAGAAATGTTTCATGTTTACATATGATACACTGAAATTTGTAGTTTAAAGCAGTTTATTTCTCTGGTATGGGACTGCTTACTGACAAAGTTTATATATGTAGCTAGACAGACAGCCTAGACAGAAAATCTCTCAAACAATTAACCAGTGCTCCATTTGCTCAGAAATTTACCCTTTGAATGTGAAGCTCAACATCTTGCTGAGTACAACCTCCGATTTTCTGATGTGCTTTCCTCACAACGCCTTCTACATCCACAATGCTCTCTTTGTTGATGCTGTCAATAAAGATAAGATAGGAGGCTTACTAAATTTCATTGCACACTGCACCAGACTCAGTACTGAGCACTAGGATGTTCATGTACTGTATGGACTGCTGGAACAACAAAACAGAGTTAAGGATTTAGGTAAAGTTACTTATTATCTATATAATAACTGAGTAATGAAGGACTTTGCTAAAATACTCCCAGCCACAATAAATTCAAACTGGGATGGAAGACTTGGGAGGGAAAGAATTATGATTAAGCTTAGTGCTTGCTCGTTCTTTGTGTGTGTATACATAAACTGACAAGTTGCATAGTTCTTTTTCTAGGCCACATACACTCCTGTATGTGTCAGCTGATGCAATTATCTGAAAGATGTGTCTTGACCAGCAGACCAACAAACTGAAAGTAAGTCCTAGATCTGGAGGGAAAAATCAAAACTGATTGAGCTTGTTTAAACTACATGACTTGTTACTGAAAGATGCAAGATGCTTTTAAGTCATTTCTCTATGACAGGGGACATCTTAATTGCTCTCCACTAACAGTCACTAATAGTACATTAAAACACCATATAACATCTTGAAAGTCTTCCAAAAATACGATATAAAGTATGCATGCTATAAGCAAACAATAACAAAAGCCTCAAGACTCATCAGTGAGAAAATAATTTGTATCAGCAGTTTTTATTTAGGTATTTAAGGTACTGGACTTTAAACCAGTAATTTTCTACAGATAATCTCACCCCCACTGGAAATATATTTTCACTCTATGTCTTTGCTAGCCTGCTTACAAAAGGCCAACTATCAGAAAATATTTCTTTCCTTTTTATGAAAAATAACTGTTACAATTAACTTTATCTTTCACTTCTCAGGCCTTCTTGAGAAGACTGGAAAGCACTTTACATCACTTGACCACATAAGCCCTTAGAAAGTAGGGAAGTAGGAGGACCACAATTTAACTGCAAGTAGTAAGAGGTGAGCAAGGATGTCATCAGACAAGCTGGCCACTACTGATCTCAGTAAAGCAAAGAGCAATTAACAACCTTCAAGTTTACAAGGTTGGCTTTTTTTTTCAGTAAGACCCCTCTCCATGCCCCAAAAAAACCCAAACCACAAAACCCATACAGCTAAGTTGGAGGGTGGTGAGATAAATATTTATATGCACAGGAGGTGTTACTGAGGGGCAGTAACCCCCAGTTAAAGGAGGTAAGGACAGAGTACAAGCAGGGACAAGCTACTGCTGATGGTAACTATAGTCCTAATCACTTGCATCTGGATCAGTTTACCTAGCACCACCTGGAGTAAGTCAGTCTAAGAGCTGTGAACAAAATCTAGGTATTCTAGCCCTACAGCCTTTTCGTACAGCTACAGTAAAACCACATGAGAAACTTACTAGGATTGAGAAGTTTCTCTTTAGAAATATCTGTGTTTGGAATTAGTCATTCTCTCACATTTTTAAAGTAGGATTTACCCGGCTAAACAATTAAGTTTATCTTTTTAGTTGATGAGGGAAACTTAGCTTTCTTCTCTGATAAAGCCCAAGTGGTGTGACCCAGAAGCAGCTGAGATACAAGTCACCAAGTGTTGCCAACTATGACTGCTTGCTCGCCCTGCTTTCTACTATTCCTGAAGCATCCGTATAAGCCCTAAGAAAAGCTAGATGGACCTTTCGTCTAACCTAGGTCAAACTTTTTAATGTTATAAAGCCGAGTTCAAATTTAAGTTATCCAACAGAATCTTTGAATAAAAATGATCAAAGTTTTGAAAAATCTGATGATATTAAAGTAACAGTGGAAAATTGAAGCATCAAAACTCTCAAAACCCTCAAAACCTAACAGCATCACTGTAAGGAAATTACAAGTAACTAAAAAAAAAAGCCAAATTTGAGCATTTTAGTTGATTACACTATTTCTTTGATGGTAATACTTTCAGGTGATAGAACTCATTGGCAGCTGCTCTAAAAGTTATACAGACCATGGTATTTCATATGCTTGACTTGCTTAACCATTAGGTAATTCCACATACTGCATAAAATTTGTGAATAGTATGTTTTTCTGGTACATTTACACTTTAAAAGAGCTACAGTTGCTCAAATCAGTATAATGAACAAATGACTAAATTTGTACAAAGCAGAGGTCGACAGTAGGCTTTAAATCAGAATTCATTTAGTTAAGGGGGATCCTCCTTTCATCTCCATTATTTAAGCAGAAGCAACAAATTCAAGAAAGACAAAGAGAAATGACACTAAGTGCTTAGAAGTACACCCTCTTACAAAATGATTCTATTTAAAACTCCTTAAAAAGACTGAGGCAGCAATACAATGCTTTGGATGCAAGAGAACATGATGATAAGAAACGCACAGAGAATATATCATGCTAAAATAGTATTAGGCAAAATTCTAAATTCCCTTTGCTTTTCAAATAAGTGAATGTTTAAAAGTTTTAGTCTTGTGCTAACTCTTTTTTACCTAAGCAGTTCTCCTCTATTTTTCCCACTTCCTTTTTCACGTCAACATTTTGGCAAATGCCCAGAAAACACTACTAATGACACAAATAGCAGAGTCTTCATTGAAAATATATGTTTCTAATCTGCTGAGTAAAAGCCCTCTCACTAATAATTGCAAATAAAAAAAAAGTTTTAAACTTATTGAAGCAAATTCTCTGCACTGTGAAAAAGAAAATAGTAGTTAAATGTAAATGTGTTGTATGATGGATTCATAATCAGATTACTGATCCCATGGCTGAGAAAACTGGTGTTAGTGAAGTCATTGCAGAGATTTGATCAGAACATGCACGGAATTCAAGACATGCAAAATGGTATCAGTTTAAAAATACAGGAAGAAACTGACTTTTACATCACTGTAACTGCAATATTGCTTTGCAAACTTGCATAACAGAACTTTAAAACTTTGAACTTGTGATTAAATGTGCTTTTTTTCTCTCTCTCTCGCTAAACTGGAGTGGCAATTAAAACAGTATGTTTCTTGGTCTGGTTTCTTGTTTCTTGGTCACACTTCAAAACCGTAACATCCTTTAGTCATTAAATTTGCCATAATTTTAAGATGTATTTCAAGTCAGTTCCTACCTATGTAGATCCCTCTATCCAAATATGCATATAAATGCCTGGGCACACAAAAGCATTACCAAGTTTTCTATTGCATATGACCATCTTTGTATTTACAAATGTTCATCATCTACTCTAAGCTTTCATGTGATAATTAGAAAATATGCTTTTGCTCATTCAGACTACATATCTAATCTGGTATGGAAGTAAAAGCTTGTGTTTTGATTCTGTTTGAACCCTGCTCAGCAAGATCTAGTGCTGGAAAAATCTGAAGTGCATCAAATGTGAACTACAGAAACCTAGAAGGTGCTGCTTTGATCCCAACAGGTAATGCCAAGAATGTTAGTGAAATGGTAATTTCAGTTCAAGTTACAACAAGAAACAAGATGCTTTAATTAAATGCTGGTAACTACAGGAAAGCGTTCTCCGCAGCAGCAACACTAAGTCATCTAGGTGATGTTTTGATAAAATTCCCCTGGGTAACAAAAAAAACCCAAACCAACCAAAAAAAGTGAACAAGTAGCAGAAAAGCATGCCAAAGCTATCACAATTTCCATTAAAGACAACAATATTTCTATCTGTAATTAATATTACAAAGGACTAGAAACTAAATTAGGATGTGTGAAGAATAAAGAAAAGACAGATGACATCTTTATGTTGTTTAATCCTTAAAGAAGCTATTTTAGTAATAGATTCATAAAGTCCAATGCTAAAAAATTCTTCTGCATAGCAAACTGCTTCTTTATATGTAATGTTCCTTCCAAAAAATCAAGACTATAATTACTAAAATGTCCACTAGATGCCTTATGTCCCTCTTAATTATCTGCATGTCTATTAGCCAAGACTTTCTCTTTTAACCACAGGATTGCATTATTGCAATTGTTGTCATACAGACAACATCTTTCATCAACAGCTTCATGTTGCAAGCTGAACCCCATGTGGGCCTCCCTAAGTGAATCACAATCAACATTTTCTTGATCAAAAGTCTGAAGAATTGGAAGAAACTTGGTTATTTATAGACTTTAAATAGAAAATGTTTTACTTATGGAAGCATCTATACTTGTTCAGACATTTTCTTGTTTTTTGTTCAATGCTGTTTTCTGTAATCAGACTGCACAAATTATTATATTAACACATTATTAAATCTAAAAATATTAAATAATTGTCATAAAACATAATAATCAATGTTCCTTTATCTGAATGTCAGCGAAAGCTGAAGGCAATAGTGTTTACTTTGAAAAAATGAGTTCACTTTGTAAATAGTTGAAAGTATAAACATTTTATACTCAATAAAAGCAACTGTAATACTGTCTGCACAAATACAGTAAGTATCCATTAAGCCCTCTGAAAGGGGAGTTAACTGACATTTATACATGAAGGCCAAGTAAACACCTATTCTTATTCTCTTGATTCTGAAAATATAATAATCTGTTTCTTGTACCAACATTCTAATACCTGGATGACCCTGGATATCTTCTGGGCAAAAAAAAAGCCTATCTTCTTTTAAAGATTTTAAGTAACAAAATCCACTACACATTTTTAATCATTTTCACTGAAAAAAACATTCCACTTTATTTCCCTTCCAAATTTACCTAGCTTCACCACCTGTTTATTGCATTTTGTCATACCTTTGTATCTGCAAAGTAAAGAACCCTCCATTGGCAGCAAATCTTCTTGCATAGGTACCATCAGACTGGGATTTAAATTATTTACTAATTTCTCTTGGATAGAACAGAGAGTTTTCTTTAGTCTCACAGGAAGGCAGATTTGCCTGACCAGATATCATTTCATCTTGCACCTTCACCATCAACGTTTTCCAATTTGACATATATTCAGACACAAAGACAACAAAAGTGGACAAAATAGTCCAGAAATGGCCTAATGACCAGCATGTATTACGTTAATGGCATTTTACTCCTCTTTTTCAAAACTCAAGCGATCTCCTAGCATAGTAGGTAAGAGAACTGCATGGACTCCTGTTAAGTCAGTTATCTATCATGATCTCACATTTCTCATCACTTACTTTCCTACATATTAATCCTGAACATACACAAAATCTGAACTAATGATAACAAAGGTACAAATTCACACTGAAGAGCATCAAAGTGATTATTCTAAATGAACCCTGGTTACTATATACTCCTAGCCCCTAGTTTACCATTCCAATTTCTGTGTCACCAGCAACTTTAACAGCTGTGATATGACATTTTCTTCCAGATCATCGATATAAAAATTAAACAGAAATGGATAAAGAAAATATTTCTACAATATCCAGCAGTTTTCCTGGTATTACCAATTTATCTAGCTGATGAACTGATGTATATTTTTCTACATTGTGAAGTATTTTCATACAGGTTTACCCATCTTTTTTTTTTCTCCCCATTTTTAATCTCTTTTCTGGATTTTCGTTCTCTAGCCTACTATAAAGAGCCATCAAGTTACTTCCTGAGTGAGGACACATTGTTTGGGCAGCTAAATTAGAATCTGTTAACCACCTCTCTCAACTGCTATATCGTATCACGTGGCTATGGTAGCGGGGGGTGTGGGGGGGGAAGGCTCAAAGCTGATCTAGAAAAAAGAGAAAGAAAACCAAAACCAACCACACCCAATACTTTATGGAAAAAAAGCAGGTTGATAAATTACTAATTGCACCACTTGGCACCTCTGCTGGCTGAAAGAGACAATTAACTCTTTCTCTTATACAGCATCCCTTGCAGTACTAGGCTGAATTTTTTTTTCTGACGAAAGACATAAGAACTCCACAGCTGCCAATCCAGTATCTCAACTGGCTCTATGTTGTTGGCTACGTATGTTTTGAAAGTTCAACTAGAAACTTTTCATAGTTTTACAAAGAAATTTCTGTGAGTTTAACTGAGTTAAACTGGTATTAAGTATCTTTCACTAAAAAGAACTCACATTCTTATGATAATGTAGATAATTAGTATATGAATGTTGCTAGACCACAGAAGGTTATGAAAGTTCTTGGTTTCCATGTGCCAATATCTAAAAGAGGAACTGGTTTGTTTATTATTTATGAAAATTTGAACAAAAAATGCTCATTATTTAATCAGTTCTCATTAAAAATTCAAGATCCAGAATTTCACAAACTATTTTAAAGAAAGTTTTGGAGCCAGTATCAAAATATGAGAAAGTAGCACATGAAAAATAAAGTTTATGTACTACCAGTGAAAAAGTTTAGTTTAAAAATTTAATTGAAATGTAAGGTATATAAGTTAAATGTTTTCTTCAATAAATGTGTATTTCCTCATTTAACGTGTAGGAAACAAGAGGAGATGATGAAAAAAGACACTGAGAAAGGCAGAGAAACAGTATAGTTATTTTTAGACATCTAAGACCAGCCTCATCTGCTAGTAATAATGGCATCATTCCACAGCAGGTGAAAACTAGCAGGAAACGTGACTGAAGACAAGGCACGTAGTGTTGCTGTGCTTCAGGTGTTACTGACACAGTGACCACAAGTGCACTTAGAAGTCAGGGAACAGCAGCAGCCTCTGAAGGACAAGAGGCAGCTGCAACGGCAGCATCAGACAAAATTGTAGAAGAAGATAAAACACTGGAAAAAGTGAGAGCACGGCAGGATATTAATAAAATAGGTTTGTTGGTGGGAAGGGATCATGAGAAGATGATTGCACTAATGGTGTTAAAAAAACAAAAGCAAACCCCCAAAAGAAAACCCAGAAGGCTGTAGCAGAGAAAGTTCCGTCATTCAAAGAACATGATGATAAGCAAGTAAACATTTCAGAAGTGCAAATGATGAGTAAAACATGCATGCTATAAGTTAGAGAGGCTGAAGTATCAGGATTTAGCTAGCAAATGCTATCACAAAAAGGAGCAGAATGAAAAGTCAAAACACAGTACAAACATCATGAGTCTGGCTACTCAGAGGAAATCAGGTCTGTCACATCAAGAAAAGTGGGGAGACGACAGGGAGTTGGAACGAACCTAAGGATGAGGTTCCATCTGATTTAACAGCTCACTGCTGCCAGAAGAGAAAGGAGGTTTGCCCTCTACTCTTTCCAGATACCCTTTTCCACAATTTAACACTCCTTGTTAGCTCTGGACCTCCGTGACCTAGTTTAAATCACTAACCTGACAGAAAACTAACCGAGTAAAAAAAGATTAGTGAATCAAAAAAAAGTCACAGAAGGCTTTCAAGTGGCAGTGTCAGCACATGGAAGAAAAGAGTAAGGACCAACTTCCCTCTCATGAGCTCCTACCCACTGACCTCTGCCACTCATGAAATGTAAGAAATTCAGTTGTGGAGGAAAGAACCGAGAGAGAGAGAGACGTTGGAGAGAACTGGAGAATAGGAGAGTGAGCATCACAACTGTAAGAGTTGTTTCACTGTTCTGTAGCCCAAGTTCATCGAGACAGTACAGGCAGACTGTTGGTAGGTTAGAGGGAGATGAATTGGGAAACGAGTAGATTATACACTTAATGCTTTTCAAAGATTCTAAGCACTGGAGAGAACAAACTATTTCATGAAGAAACAGAACACTTCACTTTGGCTCATAAACACCTGTAAACAGCATGCTTCACACTGGCACTGCCAACACTAAGCACCGCCAAACAAGAAACACTGCTGGTTCTGTTTTCCCGTTGCCTTGAACCTCATCAGCAGAAGCATTATCCTAACCTTCTTAACTCGGCTTCTGGAAGTCTATACTATAATGAATCCCTCCTCTCCCTGACATATTGAAGGTTGAAGGCTGTAGCACTTTTGCAGCTAATTAGTGGGGGCTCCCTTCCCAGGCATGAGAGTACTGCCAAGAACTACACAGAAGCAACTCAAGTGCCACATGTTAAACACATTATTGCATCAAATTGATCCACATTTCTATTTGTGAACAAGTAGATATACACGATTAAAAGCTCTACTATAAAACACCTTTGTCATGCAAGCATATTTAGTACTGGACAACCTGAAAGCACAATCTTGAGGCAAGTAGCAGGGGAAGGTAATTTTTTATCTTTAAGAACAAAACAAACCAAATAACTGAATTTAAATTGCTGCAACAAACACTTGTTTAATTGGCAAGTCTAACTATTATCCCCCCCCCCAAATATTTTAAAAAGGAACTTAGATCCCTCATTAAACATTCTAGTGCCAAAAATAAGGTGTAAATAAGATTAATTCAGTGCATAGAAGCTACTCTTAATTTCTTCAACTCAGAAAGCCACTTGCAATATGGAACTTCTGCACATCAGTTCTAGCTATAAGATGTATTACTACGCTGCACATCTTGTAGAAGAAAAACCCTGAACATGTGCAGACACACACAAACACCACACACAAACACCACACACAAAATTAAGTGTTCCACTAAGCTCAGCTTGCCAGACTTTTTGTTAGCCAGCTTGAAAGTAAATGTAGGTTGTCTATGGCGAGAGAATGCTGCTTCAGCAGTTCAGAATGAATTTCAAGCCTGTTCTCTATTTTATCTTTTGTCAGTGTAATGTATTCAAGGCAATAGTGAGCTGACAATTTAAATAACTACATTTTAAAACAAACGAAGCATTGATGTTAATGTGTGAAAATGGTCCCAACCCCTGGGAGTCCTGGTTCCCACCATTGTTTACTCTGACAACAGGATATAATTGCTTACTTACTTGGCAGCAAACTTTACCATCTGCTTGCTTGCATGCTGTCCCACAGCCACAAGAGCCTGGATATTAAACTGCTGCTGACGCAGGACTAAGAAACACTGCTTCCCTGAATACAAAGAAAAACAACGCAGGTGTATTAAGGACAAGTTACTCGAGGTCTTTGTGAATGAGAAAAAATGCTTTACTACTTTAATGTTAAGCTGAGTTTTTAAGGGTGGGGGGGTGTGTCTCTCTCCCTCGCTGCCGCCCCCCTCCCCCAAACAGCTACATCAAACTAGTCAGCTCTGCATGCACATACACACCCCCCCCCCCTCGCTGCCGCCCCCCCCCCCCCAAACAGCTACATCAAACTAGTCAGCTCTGCATGCACACGCACCCCCCCCCAATCATTGAGATAAATCAAATAATTCTGCCTTACATCTATAAACATATGAATGGACATTTTCTAAAAATAACAATACGCCTTCCAAGATAAATAGTATCTAGACAAAACAAAAACTAGAAATAATAACTTTTTAAATATCTATTGTTCTTCAACTGCAAGAAGTAAATCATACTTTTCCTTGTTGCTTTGCTCACAACTACTTCAAGTCGACATTATTTTAAAAGAAGATTTTTCTCATCTTCTTAAATTAAAGCTGTAGAGTTCACTTTACAAAGCTGCTCTGAGAGAAATAGGCTTGATTTTGCACCACGGGGACTAAACCAACAATGTTCATTCTATAATACACCACACATTCAGAATGAAGGGGAACAAAAGGAGTATTGATTCTGGTGAATGACAAGAACCTAAAAGACCCAAGTAAAAATTCCTGTAAGAGCAATTTAGTCATGAACAGCTTAGGGAAAAAGAAGTTAATAGGAATTAATAATAGTTTACAAAGAACATAATGCACTTTGTTGACTTTTAAAATGGGTACTTCCAAGTCAACAAAGCTCTTTAGCTGACAGTTACAATCATTTCATATTTCCCCTCACATGTCTAATAATAATTTACTCCTTAACTGAGATGTAAGGAAATATGGTGATTTTAAATGCTTCTTCCTCAGAGAGAGAAATTAACAAACACTTCATTGTTGTACCAGTATCTGATAAAATGCATCAATATAATTTTAATTCCAAGTTCTGACTCATAACATAACATTTCCATTAAAATGGTGAGAATAGGAAGAAGCCAGAAGCTTTGTTATAGATAGCTATTTCCCAGTTATTGTTGACTATAAAACATTAAAATCAACATATATCTAACTTGAACACTGACACTAAAAAGCCAACTGCAGTTTTCATTTGTAATTATGTGGATTACCATTCCTGACACATAGCTGCAGATAATTTAAACACCATCAGAAGATAAATGCAGAACATTTGACACACAGTCTGATGGAAATAAAAGCAAACATATAAAACTGGTACAAAATATTATTAAAAATTAACATTGTGATTATTGGAAATAACTAACCTTGCCCTATGACTGTGATTTCAGAAATGCCAACAAAATTATTTCCATATTTTCAGAAAACATATTTCAGAAAACTATTTCTGTGTTCCAGAGGCTGCAATATCTAAGTAAAGAAGCTAATATGGTATGGATGTACATATTTCTTGCAGGCAAACATTAAGCCACAGATTTAAATTAGAAAAGTACAGGCTTCAGAAATTAAATAGAGCCTTCAATGGTATACACGCCTGTGTTTCAGATCGAGCAAGTCAACAAACGAAGTACAATTTTTCCACAGAACACAATATGCTAAGTTTCTCTGGATAAGCTAGGTGTATCTCACATCTTTGACATCTCAATATTTCTTACTTACAATGTGGTTTGATACAGTATTTCTTAGAAAATAGTATTTGTCTCCATGATTTCAGTCACAAATAATTTAGCAAAATATGATCGAAGTTTCAGCAATGACGTATGAGGTGTTCAAACAAAAATACACAGCTGAAGACAGCTACAATGTCACTCACCTAGTAAATATTTAAGGAGAAGATAGTGAAATAAATGGAGGGACCTGCTATCACACTAATGAGATGCAAAAGTTTGGCAGTTGTACTTAATCCCAAACACTAGAAGTCTCATCAATATTTGCATTATAAAAGGGCTCAAATCTTTTTATCATGAGTAACAGTAGTTGTTTTCATGAGGAAAGAGGATGTTTTGTAGAATACAACCATTTCTAATCACACGGAAGATAAGTGATCAAACAAACCTCACTGATAGGAATAGTTAAAATATCAGTTACAAAGATTGTAGGAGGAAACAGAACTTTTCCCGAAAGAGCCAAAGGCGTGCAAAATAAAATATCAAAAAGACAAGCCATAATCAAATCTAGTTCATGATTAGATGCCTTTCCAGATCAAGAGACGGAAAAAAGGAAGCATCAGAGTGAGAAAAAAACTGGGATTATGGGATGTTCTCCATGTGTTTCAAAACATTTACATGGTATTTAAGTGAAAAGTATCAGACCAACTTTACTCACATTCAACAGTAAACTACTCTAAGTTTCTCTAAAACAAACCAATACTGTGTCCCACAAGAATGCCTAAAAAGATGAAAAGTTTCAAAATAAATTTGGTTAAAAAGGTCTGACTCAGTCTAATGCAAGGAACTTTTAGTCACTGAACAAATAAGAGAAGACACCACACAGAGAATCCTGTCAAAAGTAGTAAGCACATAAAACCAAACAGGAATCAATTTCCCTTCTTAGATGTAAGTACCAAATGACACAAGACCTTATAAGAGAAAAGGATGCAAGGAAGGAATTTGTATAAAGAGTAAAAAATGTTTGGTCATATATATTAATACACTACTAGTTACAGACATCTGCTAGCAAAGAGAAAACTTTATATGGTTCATTATAAAATTTGGTCCCGTATTTAAATTGCTCTTGGTGGTACTCTTATTTTCAGACATACTATTTTGATGTTTTATAAACCTTTGCATTCATAAACCAAAACCAAGTTCAGGTCTAACATACTGTGCAACTCCCAGCTGCCTGGCAGAACCCAGAGTGATTTCCCAACTGCTTTTCAATGATAAACATGATCAGTAGCATAGGCTGGCTTTAAAATAAGGCCAGAAATAACATTTATTCAACCTACGATAAAAACCACAGGGCCCCAAGCACTTTAATTTTAGTACAACCCACAGAATATCCCAACACCCCATTCTTTACACATCCTTCAGTTAATTTCCATCGGACTTCATGAGTGGCTTGCTATACAAGACAGCTGGATTCTGCATTGTTCACATTCTTTTTTTTTGGTTTATTGGTCAGAACAAGACAGGGTTAAATAAAGGATATGTTGGTTATTTAGGAGTCAAACTCGAGCTTCTGAGAAAAACTAAAGCTATTTTTGTGTAAGATTTTCCTGTTTTGTGCAAGACTTTCCTTTCCAAAATGGTAGAAAGAGCGCCACGATGTGTGTGGGAAAGGCTAATATTACTTTTTACTCTTAAACATTTGCTTTTCTTGTAAGATTCTTTCCCCCAAAGCTTAAGTAAACAATCATATGGCATTCCCTAGCAGCATTCCCTGAATGTCAGAATTGTTCTGTGTTGTCAGACCAAGAGGGAACAAGAGCACAATCAATAAATTCAGAACACTTCATGCCCCTAATCAACTCCTTTTGCTTCCATTCTTCAGGTTGTGTTAAAGAGTTTTGAAAATAAGCACTGTTATTTCATGAAAAACAATAGTCTTTCCTGAGGTCAAAGGTGAAGGATGACAAACAGCTTCTTGTAAGTTAATATTGCCATGTTACATATATGTTACTCTGATTGAAGTAAATGCGTACATCATGCAAGTTATCGTATATAAATGCAATACAGAGACAGTAATAAACAACCATTGAACTTTACATTGTTTTAAAGGTCTGCATAGACTACTGTCTTTAATATACTAAATTCTGTTAATAGTCTGAACTTTTCCTCCAATTGCAAAAGCAAAAGCCATAAGGATACTCTTATTTGTATACTGTTAGTAACATCTAAATTAGATAGAGTATCTCCCGTTCAAACAACTTCAAGTTGTAATGACCAAGGCTTTCACAGCTTTTGGGGTTGACAATTTCTATACGTAGCAAAGAGAGACTTCCATGTAAGACCACACCACAAAACTATTGAGGAAATCAGAGAGGACTCCCTAAATTTAAAGATTCTAATACAAATTAAAATGTGCATTATACGTATACATTTACATGCAGTTCCTTATTTTAACTGACTGCAGTACAGACACTCCACATTAAGAAGGACATTTTTTAAGAAAATGAAGCCTCAAAAAGAGAAATTAATCTGGTACCTGTCACAATATTCTGTACTGGATTCTCACCCCTAATTTGCATTATTCCTAATTCTAAGACTACTGTTAAGTTTCATTTGTGAAGATAATTTCTTTACGCTCTTTTCTTTCAACTCTTGGGAAGACAAGGTATTTATATCTCACTACAGAGCTGCCAAACATAACTGAAACCAGTACAACAGTTGTCAGCATCTGATGTCGACTGAAAAGGCCAAAGCCTATTCAAGTTTGCATATGGCAAACTGATCTCCAGAGAGAACTTCTGATTCCAGGGAAGAAATATGGCTGTCAGACAGCCAAGTATGACAGCCCACACTACTGAGAACCTATAAAAGGATTTTCTCTTTGTCTTGTTAAAGAAAGATGATGTTTCTTATTTTAAGTTCAAATTGATATAATCAGATTCTGGTAACTGAAAGTAAAAATCCTGGAATTTTAACACAGATTTTTGTTTCCTGTTGAAGAAGAAGTATAGTGAAAATATTCATATGCAGCAGAATAAATATGGCCTGTCTGACAACTGATACATTTATCATAAAAGTATGTTTTACAGTAGAAGCTTGTAACTTTTATCTCACAACTGTTAACACCCAAAGGAGAATGACTATAATATTTTTAAATTCCTATTATTTACAATTGTCTACACATTATTTAGTAATGTGATAAAACCAAAATTCACTTTTACTACAATGTAATAATAATACCCGATTTCCACTCAGCTGAAAACAAAATTTCCTTTTCCCCTCTTGGGAAAAGAGAGGTGGAAAAAAGAGAAAATAACCAGTCAAAGTGAACAGTGAGTGAACACCGAGTAACCAGGTGGCAAACTCTTCTTGTATGCAAGACATAACCAACAGGTCATGAAGCCAAAATAAACATTCAGGTTATACTAACAATATGAGGAAATAAAAATAAAAACCCTGGAGGCATCTCACCTTTAGCTCTGCTTGTATGAATTCTGCCACGAACCCAAACCACTTCATCAGCCTTCTCCACTGTCAAGTCTTTTATTCGAATCAAAACTCTATCTGAATTACAGGAAAAAAACACATTTTAAAATGGTTTGGGTTTTTTTGAAGCAAAACATTTTTCACTTTAAACTCCAAATACATTTTCTATCATTGCTAAAATTTATAATAAATCCAAAACATTATTTTTTGTATCTATAGCATAATAGATGTACTGAAAACACACAAGATCCCATTTCCTTTCTCCGTGAATTGTACTTGATCAAGTAGTTTTAAACTGCTTCAAGCTTATTGTTTGACTTATATAGCAGGGTCAAACTGCACTAAAACAAAAGCAAGACTTACTGTAGTTCACAGATGGCAGAACCCAGCATGACTACACTATTTTTGATAGGACTTCACTGTGCTGCACTGTACTACCTGCACTACTTAGTCTGAATTTCTGCTAGCTAAGGGATGTCTGCCCTGCTCCACTGTGCGACATCAAAGTTGGTATGCTGAACACACAAAGCAAAACAAAGGCTCAGAGGTGACATAACTATTCTCTGTATCTACGTAAGTAGGGTGAATATCACCGTAAAATAATTATTATTTAAAATAAAGAAGAGAAAGAAACCACAAATAAATGTCCATTAGAAATTAAAAGATTTATTTTGATAAAAACAATAGCATTTTGGAGCAACAAGAGTATTACTGCATAAAATCAGTAAAATTTATTTTAAGAAAGAATCTCTTTGACAACCTGATCAAGCACTACTATCATTGTAGGAGCCAGGATTCATCAGAAAGAACCCTTCAAGTTCTATGTACCCAAGAAAGCTAAATAACAATAGGAATGCATGGTTTGGAAAGGACAGATTTTGGACAGTAAAGGAAAAAATAAAAATTATCAAGGAAAATATTTTTAAATAAATCAGGACTTTAAAAATTGTATACAACCATTATGAACTGCCAATATGCTGGCTGCATGCCACTATTCCTTGAAACGTACTTGTTTAATTGTATTTTTCCATAGATTTTTGGCCAAATGTATTTTTGCATGGTCTCAAACACTTATTTCTTATAGTACCTACAAATCAGTTAGAGGATATACATAGCATTGCACAGAACCTCAACAGTTCTAACAGCTACACTTACTCATTTACAGTTCGTATGTGGTTAAAACACTGCTTATTAGGAAAAAAAAAACTTCAAGGGACATACTGATCCTCATGGGTCTCTTCCAACTCAAGATATTCTATGATTCTATTCTATGATTCTACGATACTTAACACAAGCAAATTCAATCTCTCTGCCTTTCATCACAGACTTCTCCCTTGTTTCAAAATAACATTAAATTTACTAGAACGCTTCCACTCTAGACTTTTCCCGCCAGAACTTTTCCAAAGTTTGCCTACCCCAGGTTACCATCTGCCATTCTGGACTCCTTCCCTCTGTCTCTGAATACCAGTCACAGCTTGCCCTGCAAGCCTATTATTGTGTACTGGGAATTTTAGGGGGTTGAAAATGTTTATTAGCTTGTACTCAGGCCAATCTATTTTTTTCTTCATAGACACACGTTAAAACCAGAACAGAATGAAAGTGCACAGAGAAGTGACTCAAATATATTAATAATATGTGTGTGTGTGCGCGCGCACGTGTGCACCAGGGAAGGGTGAAAGGAGAATAAAGATGTTATCACTTGCCAGCAACTTCTGGTGTTCAAACTTTATCAGTACAGTACTATAGGAAACATGCAACCAGCACAACCCATAAGCTTTAGTATTTCTACGAGTTTGATACTCAGACAGTTAAAATTACCTCAGTCAACTTAAAACTGTATTGTTAGAAACTTAAAACATTTTCCAGGCACCAGCATAAAAGACAGAATGAGGTGTTACCCTTTTTATGGATCCTTAGTGTTTCAGGAACCATCTGCATTAGATAAATATTTTTAAAAGTCTTTTGGATACATAATTGTTCATGTTTCATCAAGACTAAACAAGACAACTTTAACACAAGAATTTTTATATGGTATGAATTATTAAAAAATATTTCACCTTTCATAAAAAGGGTAATAAAACAATATCCAAAAAGAGACATCAAAAAGTCATTTTTTCCAACAGCAGACCACAGAATCACAGCATGGCTGAGGTTGGAAGGGACCTCTGCAGGTCATCTGGTCCAACCCCCTTCTCAAGCAGGGCCACCTAGAGCCAGATGCCAGGACCATGCCCAGATGGCTTTTGAATATCTCCAAGGATGGAAACTCCACAGCCTCTCCGGACAACCTGTGCCAGTGCTCAGTCACCCTCACAGTGAAAAAGTGTTTCCTGATATTCAGAGGAAACCTCCTGTCTTTCTGTTTGTGCCCATTGCCCCTGGTCCTGTCAATGTGCTCCATGAAAAGAGCTAGATGTGGCAATCGTTATGTCACTTTGTTTCCCTCCCTCAACACTTCCCAAATCTAGTCTTCTTTTCTTCTCATTTCTAAAATGCCAGTAGTTCATGATAATGTCTACATTTGTTAGTGTAAACAATTGTTTGTCTTTGTCACTCATTTTCTCTTGTCCAACCAAGATATTGTAGCTCAAACCTTCCCTCTGTACTCCCACATATCATTTCACCCGGAATTCCCTTCAGTTCATTTCTCTCTCTTCCATGATAAAAACTAAGCTTCCTGCTCTCACCTTTAAGGTCCTCCCACCATACTCTTCTGACTACCACCTACTTGTTCTTTCACAAATGCAAGCTATACTTACGTTTTCTGTCTTCTTGCCACATAAACACTTATAGACAATTAAATAATGCAAAAATAAAAGATGTTTTAAACCATGCTACAGTTGCAGTGAAGACAAGGGAACAAAGATTTTAAATGAAGTTCAAACAAAACACTCTGTAGGTCCTCCCACCAAACACACCCTTCTGACTACCACCTACTTGTTCTTTCACAAAAGCTATACTTACGTTTTCTGTCTTCTTGCCACATAAACACTTATAGACAATTAAATAATGCAAAAATAAAAGATGTTTTAAACCATGCTACAGTTGCAGTGAAGACAAGGGAACAAAGATTTTAAATGAAGTTCAAACAAAACACTCTGTAAGTCTGAAATTACACTTCCAGCCCAAATTCAACATTCATGCTATCTCACCTTCATTGCCATTTTGAATCATGTTTAAGGGGCAACTGGTTTTTTGTTTCCTTCATCTATAGCACAATCTCTTCTTTTCAACATACTAAATATCCTTATCTTTCTCTCAGAACTCTAACCTCTTCTAAACATGGGAGGAGAGGATAAAAACCCAAAAAGCTGTGTGGGTTATACAAGACAAAATCACTTTTCCACCCCCCGATCCCCATTCCCTGCCTGTCACATCAGCCTGTTTACTAAGTTCATTTATCTTGCATCATGGAGTTTTGAACAGTATGATCAATATTTCTGCTGTCTCTGTGAAGTGCCAGCATCTTTACAATGTTGGATAAATTTGAAAAAGGCAGGCAAGTTTAATAAAAAAAACTGAAAGCCAAAAGCAGTATAAGAGGAAGGCAGCTTCCAGGGAGGGGAGATGAAAGTAGTGGGGCTGAAGGGAGAAAAAGGGAAAGGCAAGTGGAGTTTTACTAGCAATCATAGCCTCAAGCAGGCAGGAAGGACTTAAAGACATGATGTAACAGGAAGTGAGAACATCAGATAGCCAGGGCAGCCTACATTAGCAGAAGAAAGACTGAAGTGGGCCAAGAATGAAGGCACAGGTGTGTGTGAGATCAGTAGAGCAGGATGGAGCATCTATACAACTTCGTGAAAATGTGAAAAGAGGTTTAATTTGCCTGCAGAGGAACAAGAATCTATGAGTAAATCTATGAGTATGGCAAAAGGACAACAAGCCTATCCCTTGGAAAGGGAGAATAATTTGCGCTGATCACTCTAAGCTTTTTAACTCCCCATGTACAGCCAGCGTCCTCAGGACAGTGCAGCTACTACAGCAAGCCTAAAAGCAACAGTGCTGCAGACGTCCAACTGAGCTCCTACCCACATCTGTGCTGCCTGTATTGTCTGTTGGCTCCAGTTACCAGACAGTACGTGGATCTGCAACATGTCATACCACAATTCATGATTCTGACTTAGAAATGGCATGCACCCGCAGAGACTTCAGAAACAAACAAAATTAATACAGTACAGACAGATGGGAACACTCGCATTTGTGCTTCCCCACCACCCCCTGCCCCAAGCAGTAGTTCCACCAAGACACTCAATTCAAGCAGAATACTTTGGGGAAAAGCATATATACACTACTGATGCCGACTGATGACTTCAACCTCCCGTGAGTCCTTTGATAAGAGCTCTCCCTGGCAGGAAGTACTGAATCTTTAAATAAGAGGGCGTTAGTCTCAACGAAGGGACTAGGCTGATCTTGAACTTTTTTATTATAGACATTTTGGTTTTTGTTACCTAATTTTGGTGTTCTGGACAATCATCTTCTAAAAAATGGAACAGCAGGAGTGTTGTAGGTTGTATTTTAAGCCCAATGGAAAACCTACTCAATCTTGTCCATACACTGGCTGAGACTTTTTTTTTTCCAAACGAGGATTGAGGGTCAAGGGGACAACAGATCTAAATACAGCACTCAGCCTTTTTCATATCATTCCCTGTAGCTTTTGCCATTTTCCTTCTCAACATATTCTCTTCCTCCATGGTATTTTTGAGTGTTTCTTTTGAATATGAGACAGTTGGCAGGGTAGACCTTTCTCCACGAGAGTAGGATTTGATCTGCCATCTCAGTCTGCCAGCTTGGGTCTCCCACACAGTTGTTTGCTATGGGGTGTGAAACTGGCAGAGGAAACACAGCTTGCAGAAACGCTAGTGAGCCAAATGTCATCACAGAAGAGTGCAGGGAGAGGAGATCCAACAGGGCAACCTTTCAGCCTACAGTCAGCAGTGCACGTTAACCAGTCAGATACTAATTTGGAAGTTACCTTTTTCTTAATATTATACCTTTCAGGTTGTGACTGCACACCAATTTATGGATTGTTTGACGGTAACATGTATATGGATGGCTGTGCTCCTGCCCCTTCCAGCAGTCTTCTGACCTATAGCCAACCTATTTCACTTTGCTAAGCTGGCTAAACAAGTTGTTATTATTAGCATGTTGAAACGGATCAGCAGAAGACCCAGCATCAGGAAGAGGGAGACCACAGCAGCCAGCAGTTGGGCTGGCTTACAATGTGATTTCAACTTTAGTTCCCTTTATTTGACAGCTAGTATGTATTTTATTCAATAATGACTCTTAATACAGTCTCTAGTGATTTTCTTGTCCCGTTGCATTCTTGACATAATGTTCCCCTTCAGTTGGTTTTAACCTATGATTGCTTTTGTGGCTCCTCCTCTTCCCCACATTCTGCATTCCCCTTCCTAAGGGAGGTCAACCAAAACAACCATTCAGAGAAAAAAAAAATCACCTAATCACAGATGATGTTCCTTTTTTACATTTCACTATGAAGAAGTGAGAAGAAGCCAGTCTATTACCTTCCCTCGTTCCTGTTTCATGCACTGAATAATATGAAGATTAGTATTTCTTGGGATGTTGGTCTAGGAGATTGTTCTCTAGCTGACAAGTCTTTCTGAATCCCAATTCCCCAACAGTATAAAATGAGCATTTCATGAATTCACAGTGGTGTGAATAATGATAAAACCCATAAATATTAATATGTATTATTAATGCATTTGGTGCTCATATGCAGGAGTAATGAAGGCTGCATAAGCAGCCAGATATCCTCCTCAGAGAGAGAGCGCTGTTGCAGCAAGCCATAGCAGAACTTACTCCAAAGAAAAAAACTGACATCTCAGGACTCAGTACATTATAAATAATAATAATTTAATAAAAAAAAAAGCCTGCAGTGATGGACAGAGTGTGTAGGGCGTGGTACAGGCAAGGGCAAAGATTGAGATGCCATAACCTCTCTGGACCCAGCTCCAATATCCAACCACACTCATGATTTTTCTTCCTTCTATCTATCAGAATTTCCTCTGTTCCGACTTGTGTCCATGACCTCCTGTCCAATTACCACACACCTCCAAGACTCTGGCTTTACCTTCTCTACACCCTCCCATTAAGTAGCTTTAAACAGTAATAAGATCACCCCACAGCTTCCTATTCTCCAGGCTGAACAAGCCCAGCTCCCTCAGCCTCTCCTCAGAGATCCTGTGCTCCAGTCCCCCGAGCAATTTGATAGCTCTCCATTGGACTGGCTCCAAAATGTTAATGTCCTCCTTGCGCTGGAGAGCCCAAAACTGGACACAGCACTCCAAGTGCAGCCTCACAAGTGCCAAATGTATCCAAATAAAAGGAGAGAATGGCAGCAGGATTTGAATGAAAAAGTTTGGTAAATGATTTCTCAAACAAGTACTGTAGATATGTAGTACAGAACTTCTTTACCCCCCTCCCCTCTTTTTAAAAAACTTTTTTCATTTTTTAACTGACCTGGTTTCTCTTGGGATTGTATCATTGATGACACTCCATATCTTTCCTTAGCATAATCCTAAAATGGAGGTGAGAAACATACATCAAAGAAGCATACACAAAATGGACAAAATCATTACAGATTTAACTGAGGTAATACAAAACAATTAGCTATAATATTAAAGTCAAGAAATTGTGCTTCAGACTCTTAGAGATCTACAAGTGAGAGAATTGTGCCCTGTAAGAAAAAAAAAATACCAATAACAGCACACACACACATTAGGATCATTATTTGCTACACAGAAGCTAGTGTGAATACCTCTGTAAAGAGCCTACCCCTGAAAAGATATGAGTCCTACAGAAGTAGATCCATGGCTAAGTATTTCCTTCCAATATTCAGGGACACTAAGAAATCCAGAAGATCGCATGTCATTAGGACAGCCAAAGCAAGCTCGACTGACTACCAAGAAAATCTCTTAGGTAAGACGCAGGGGGGGTAGGGCCTTTTCATCAAAAAGATCACAATTCTAGTTTCCCAACTAAGCCCACTCATTTCCAAATAAAAAAAGCCTTAGTTTATTTATTTTATTCTATTCAATATATGAATCTAAGTTCATTCTAAATACTTTACTTGGGAGGGGTTTCCGTTCCTCTGCTTTTGATAAATCATGGCCCGTATATAATTTTACAGAAGGCACCTACACTCAGAATTCCTTACTGCTGATGGATTTTTGGCTTTTCAACAGCAAGCAAAATTGATTTTATAACAATATGAACTGATGCTCGTTCTCAATACTTTTTTTGTCTTCTTGAAGAAATACTAGCCTACAATTTTTCAGCACTGATCCGTGATCTTCAAATACAGAGACATCTGCCAGGCCAGCAGGAGCGACCGGTGCCCCTGCAGAAGCGGCCTGCTATGGAGCAGCAGCCCAGGTGTTTCTGCAGGGGACTGCAACGGGGAAAGGGCACAGGGACAGGGCAGGGCCGGGCTGTTTCTCATCGCTCAAGCATGGCCTCCTCCACCCCACACGCGGAGATCGGACTCCAGCGGGGCTCAGGAAACGCTGTGTGACCGGAGAGGGGCAGAGCTCTTCACTGAAGCACGAACTGGCCGGGACCGGCGAAGGGGGAAGGGGGAGGTGGGCAGGCAGGGCAAAAGCAAAAGGCAGCTCTGCCCTGGGGCCCGGCCAAACCCCCCCCCCCCCCCGGCCCCGCCCCCCCACCCCCCCAGGGGCCCCTCCCCCCCGCCCC